ATAGCTCCCACCGACATGCAACTGTCTAATTCTTCTTCTAGATGAGCAGGGGCTAGTTCTCCAACACCCAGCACCCAGGTAGATCCTCAACCAGGTGTTCCAGGAAACCTCTACAACCTGGTTCTTTACCCATCCTAGGAACAAAAAACAACAAACCACAGAGCAAGGGGGATGAAAAAGCCACGGGCCTGTTCTGTTCAAATGTCTGAGGTTATAAACACTGCTTTTTGTTTCTTGGTTTACAAGGAATAAGCACTTCCACAAATTTTCACGCCCTAGCCATCTGTCTGTATCAAAATAAATTAATTCTCCATACTGCGCATCGACTTCTTAGTCTCCCAAAAACTGGCAATGGTTAAGGGCAGGAACACAGAGAAAGTTCGTTCTGTGAACTTAATCACCCTCTCCATCACATCATGCAGGCAACCTGACTTGCAAAGTTCCCACACACACGCTCTTTTTTTGAATGATGCAATGGAAGCTGTGAACATGAACCTTCTCCTTTGACTTAAATAAACCAATGAAATTGCTTTTTTTTTTTCTTTCATCACAGGTGCCCAATGCAACACAACAAAACTCAGATTTTCCATGATTAGTTGAAGCCTCCAAAATTCCTTGCTGAAGGGTTTGAAAGCATTTCTCCTGGCCCTACCCCTGAAAGGCTCAGGCAGATTATACTCTTGCATTAGAAGGACTGCATGCATCTCACACATTGGAAGACTGAGACCCTTATAGAGATTCTTCATCAAACAACTATCACAAAGGTTTAACCCCATATATTCCATATTAGAACCTTTGCCAGAATTTCTATTCAACTCTCTTCTGAGATCCGCCATACACGTGTGTGGGAGAAGATTCCACATCAGTCAATCACTTTAAGAAGCCCTCAGTGTCACCCAATACTGAAATTTCGTCCCAACACACCCTAAATATTAAATGCATCTGGCCAGTGGTAATGTGCACCAGTGGTGTGATCTTGTTGGGCTCGTAGAATTTCTCACTGATGTCTGCAGAGGTTTCCCTTGTTTACGTACATCAATATGTTAAAATCTGGTAGTTCTGGATATCCCACTAAAGAGCAGGCACATTGAAGAAATGAGTGTGTAGGTTCTCTGTTCCTCCTACAACCTTGATTAAGGAACTAGAGCCAGAAGAAAAAAAGGGGGGGGGGCGGGGTCTTTCTCCATATTTTGGTTTTCTTCCCTCCACTCACACAGCATAACATGGTCCAGAAAAAGATATAAAATCAGCTGCTACCTTAAAAGATGGGACAATTCTAAACTAGGAATACACCAGAGGTTCTCCAACTTTAATGTGACTAAGCATCACCTGAGAGTTGCTTGTTGGAAATAAAGATTTAAGAACTCTTTGCCAGTTGGGATTAGCAGTTTTATCAAGTGCCACGAGTGATCATGTGGTCCCACCTCAAGAAAGCCCAGCAGAGAGCTGAGAGGAGAGAAAGAGCCAAGGGGGATGGAGTCGAGTCAGGCCTTTGGAATTCGGAAGTGGTTTTAGCTCTTGTTTTATAGTCTATTCCATTGCTCCAACTGTAAAGCCTGTTCAGTTAAAAATTCACTAAACACACCACACACAAAAAGAAGTCTGACATAAAAGCCCTGATAACTTAACTAATGGTGGTAAATGGAGTTTCTTTAAATAGGTACCTTGTTTGTGCCTACTTGCCTTCTTTCAAGATTTATCGGGGTCCAGCTTCTCTGTTTTCCAGGAGACACTCATCTTTGGTTACTTTGATTTGAAACAACATTCCCCATCAAAATCTGTCTAGTTGGTCTTTATTTTTGTTCTTCGTAAATTACACTGGCCACATTAGGTACAGTTATACTATTTAATATTTTAAGTGCCACATTAGTTTGTTTTTTCAGGTGAACCTTATACAAATGTGAGGTAGAAAAATGAACTAAGGTGGCACTGATGAGTAGATGGAATCAAACTTCCCACAAATACACACATGCACACCCATATGCACGTACTATACATGCATGCATGTGCTTAATAGGTTTAAAAAAAAGTCTTGAAGAACACACTAGCAAAATATCAATAAAGCTGGAGCAACGGGAGCACAAAAACGTCTAAGCAATATAAAGGGATTATTTTTAAAAGCATTGATACTGTCCTATTAAACATTCATTAAACATAGGCATTTTGTGAAGTGCTGTCAAAAGCAGGAATGGAAATAGAACCCAGGACTCTAAACTTTCAGCTCTTGTCAATAAATCAGGCAATTTTCCTCCACAATCCAAAATAGCTGCAAAAGCTCTAGTTATTTTTTAACATATGGCTTAAATATTTATATTTTAAGTGCTTTCAGCTTACAGTCTAAATTATAAACATTCATTAACACTTAGGCAACTTCCTAAGTAATTCTAACTGCAAGGTCAGACCAAATACACATTTAAACAAAATAAACATTCCAAATCATAGGCTATAAATTGTTCCAATATTTACTTGATAACCTGACACCCATACTCATTTGCCTCTCTTCCTCCCAAAATAACGTCCTTGGGGAGTTTCTTCTCTCGTGCAACAAAAGATAGTGATACTGAGGCCAGAGACAAAGGAGCGTGGTTGCAAAGATACCACGTAGAGAACCTGAAATAAGCTTGATGACTTAGCCTAACTGTTTGGAAAACCATCTCCTTGGCTGGTTGTCTTTCATAGGATTACATAAATTAATTAGCCCAACAAATACTCATGTATATAGCAAGGCACAGTGCTCATCTGAATGGATGGAGACAAAATCCTTGCCATACAATGCTTATATTCTAGTAGAAAGTTAGCAAAAAAGCAGTATAATGTCAGATAGTTTTAAGTGCCATGAAGAAAAATGCAGCAGAGGAAAAGGGGGAGGGGAAATGTCGCTATTTTAAATAGGGTGGACAGAGAAAACTTCTTTAAAGCTTTTCAGTCAAATGTTAGACTAAATCTAAAAATGAGAATAATATTAACTCCACTCCCCTGAGTCACCAACACTCATTGGTCTCTTTTTAAAAGCTGCAGGCTGCTTATACACTCGTGGATGAATGACTATCTAGGAATTTTAGGGAAAGAAAGGGAGAAATTCGTGAGGCAAAACTAGCTGCCAAGCAAGCAGAGGACAGAAAGAAGGGTGTGCCCTTCACCCGGCCACGCTCACAGGGCCAGCGAAGACCACGCACAAGCCTGACTTAATGTAGGAGCTACAGGAAATCAGTCACAAAAGAAAAAATAAGGTATCTTGCTTAATAAAAGCCTTAGTGTTTCTCTTTTTCAGGGCAATGACTGCATATAGTAATTGATAATATCATCAGATACAAGTAAGATAAACATAATAATAAGGTTTTCCAAAGGTTATATACATTTGTCATAATTATGATCAGCTACAATTTTTTTATTCTTCATAAAAGAGGGACAAGCTTCCAACATCAAATTTTCTAATGTAATTCTCATTTAAAACATATGCACATTTTTAGAAACACCAGTAACTTACCTTCAAGGGCAGGAAGCAACCACTTTAGAAGTTTGCAAAGAGAGTAAAATAAGCCATTGGTATTTGAAAGGTAATAAACGTTTAAAGAGCCCAAAGCTACAGGAAAGCCATAATCTATTTCAGATTAAAAGACATAAGAAAGTCATCACTTTCTGGTAGCTGGGATTAGAGTTTGGTTGGAGCTTCAATCATTCATGCTTTTTACTCTGAAACTGGACCTTGAAAGCTGTAATGAATTAAACAACATACCACCCACAGAATCAATTGTAAAAATATACTGTAACTAAAAGCATAATGACTCAATTCACTTCCTTCCTCGTTTTTCCATAATCCATCTGACCTTCTTCCTGTCACCTAATCTAATCATTGGCTAGGTTTCCATTAAGTTAAGATTCTCCCCATTATGCTAGCTGAAGTCATTGCATTGGTTCTCCCAGATTTAAGGGACAATTTTATCAATGTCACTCTGTACAACTGAATTGTCAAAATGTAAGGTACACAGTGATTCAATTCAAGGCTGCATGTTCCCAGAGTAGGGTGGTGATATACATGGAGTCTAGAATGAACGTTTTTTTTAAAAAATCTTTTTTCTAACACTGTCCAGTGACTAACTGGAAATATTCCTAAAGTTTTCAAGCTTGACAAACACATCCTCTCCCTTCTGTTACCACCTCCTCCTCCTATCACCTGTAAAACTGACAACAAAGTTTGCATAGCACATTACAATTTCTAAAGCATTTTCTCATACACTAATCTCATCTGATCCTCACAGCAGCCTCGAGACTTTGTAATTATCCTAAATCACAAAAGTACATTGCCCAAACTAAGTTCTAGGGTAAAGAACTGCATGCATGCAAACTGGCTCTTGATTTCATCCAATCCTAAACTGGCTGTTACCAATGACCTACTTTAGAACAAAATAATTTCACTGCTGAGCAGACCCTCGTCGACCTTTTCTGTGAACTTCTTGATTTACAGAGATACCAATTATCCTGTGTCTACTGTATACTATAAAGTTATGGTTTTAAAGCAGATACCCAAATGATTGGAAGGTTATTTGTTAAGTGGTAAATTAACAATTTCATTTGAATCTATGTTACACACAAAAAGAAGGATCCACTCTTTGGACCAAGGTCACACACGGTTAATAGCACCCCTCGTACAAACCTAGGTCTGTCTGGCTTCTATACCAGACCAGGAGGCTAATCTAGCTGATGATTAAAGACAAGAGTGGGGAGAAACATGACCCCAGGCAAGGCTTGGACTGGCAAGTTGATTCATAACCCATCTTTAAAACTAGAATTTAAATGGATAAGACTGGGATACTCCTAAAGCAACTCAATTTTAAGTCTCTTAGAAGCTTTGCTCAATGGTCATATTGCAGCCCAACTGAAGTGCAATTACTGCTAGTTGATAAATTCTTTCAGCAGTGTCTTGCCTACCAAACAAAATTAAAATCATATCTAAGGAAACAATAATGCTTAGGGGTTGTTCTCTCCTTTGGGAAACTTACAGTGATCATTTGACCTCGTTCTATGAAAATGACTGTTTCTCTTCCAGGTTGTGTCTGCTTTAGCTGTGGGGGAGGAGTATAATTATTATAAACATACTAGCAGCTTACATTTGTGTAGAGCTTCATCACTGACAAGCACATTGCATTATCCCATTTGATCCCTGCTACAACCATTATGGAAGGTAATATGGGAATTATGACCTCATTTTCACAAATAATTAAGTGGAGGCTCAGAGAGGTTAAGTAATCTGCCCCATTTCACTAAGTTAGTAATGGCAGAACAAGGAAACAAATTCAGCTCCTTTTGTCTTTAAGCCTTGGGCTTTTGTCTATCCTATTACTTGGTCAGAAATGCATCCTCTAAGGAAATGTTCTGATGACCCCCTGCAGTCTAAAGCAACTTCATTACCTCCTAGAAAGGTTTACTGCTGTGTCTCTAGACTGCTTCTTTCTCACCCTTCCACCAAGACAACTCTGACAGTCTTACTCAAATTCCCAAGCTCTACAGAAAAACAAAATAATTTGGCCCACGAGACCTGTCTAAGGAAGCCATTGATACGCTTCAGAATTAAACTAGTCAAAGGAGTGTACCTGTCCCCACCGAGGCTTTTTGCAGAGGAAAGGAATAGAAAGAGTAGAAGGTCAAGGACAGACGAGGAAAGAGCGCAGAACCTGGGAAAGTGGCTCCAAAGCTATTTTTTATGTCTATTACTTATATTTTATTAAACTTCCATAGTACGAAAGAGGTTAGCCTATTTAAGGGTAGTCTATAAAATACATGCAGGAGAAATTTTGCTGCAAAATACAAAGGTAAAATTTTAAGGGAAAAGGGGTATAAGAGGTAACAGTAAAATGAGGTGTACAAGCTAAGTGAGAGTGGAATCACTGTGAAGCCACGGGAAAGTCTTGCCGTAGGAGAAGGGGGTTGGGAACACACCTGTCACACAGCAGACACGTGCTGGATTAGGCAGAAATTGACACAGTAAAAAAGTGCAAATCCGGGCCAACATTTAAGACTTTGAAGCCTGAGTTATTGACAAGAGAACTGGAACCACAAAAAGCTGAAAATTCCTCTTTTCACCCATTTGTTCCAAAACATCCATCTACAATCCATTAGTTGACTCAATTTATTTATCTAACAGTATTTCTCAAGTCTAGGGAGATCTTTCTTGGGATATTTTTCTTAAATGTTCTTGATAGCTATTTGGGTTGCGCTTCGTATAATCTGTCTTTTAAACTTAGATTTTAAAAAATTCAATTAGAAAATAGAGAAAATATAGGAACAAACATTTCACTGAAGAGGATATATGGATGGCATATAAACACACGAAAAGATGTTTCACATGTTTATCAATATCATTAGCTATCAGGGAAACGCAAATTAAATCTACAATGAGATATTCCTTCACTATTGATGCGGAAAATGTCGGGCGCCCAGACGCAGCCCCTTGCCGCCTCCCCATAGTTCCGCAACTCCGGGCCCACTGTGCGTGGCCGGTTAGAGGCACGCTGCTGGGGCCCGGCCCCGAGGCTCACAGCCGCCCTGATGCCCTCCTGCCCCGGGGACCCCGCATGCCAGAATGCCCCAGGCCCATGTGCTATTGCCTATTTCCGGCCACGCTGCTTGCATGATCCTGATTGGGTAATTTTTGAATCCCACTGTTTTTGATGTTAAAGCTTGTTGCTGATTGGATGTTAAAGCTTGTTGCTGATTGGATGTTAAAGCTTGTAGTTGATTGGACGCTTCTTGAGCCCTACCAAGGGTTATATAAAAGCAGGGGCAGAAGGGCAGGAAGGGGGAAAACATTGGAAGACACGAAGAGAGCTGTAACATTAGGTGTGCTGAGTCTGCTGTAGAAGAATAAAGGTTGTTCTCCGACTCTTCCTGTGCCGCTCGGTTCTTTCCCTGGTCAAATGAATAAGAGCCGTAACGCTCAGCTGTACACACTGCCGCAACATTATCAAAATGGTTAAAATAAAAAATAGTGACAACATCAAATGCTGGCAAACATGCTGAGAAAATGGATCACTTATACATTGCTGGTAGGAGTGTAAAATGGCACGGCTACTCTAGAAAATGGGTTGGCAATTTCTTATAAAACTAAATATGCAATTGCCATACAATCCAGCAGTTTCACCCTTTGGCATTTATCCCAGGGAAATGAAAACTTACGTTCACACAAAAACCTATATGGAAATGTTCACAGCAGCTTTAGTCACAATAGCCAAAGATGGGAGACAGCTCTGATAGCCTTCAACAGGTGAATGGTTCAACAAACTGTCGTATATACAAACCATGGACTACTACTCCACAATAAAAAGATATGAACTATTGGTGCAATCAACAACTTGGATGAATATCTAGGGAATTAGAGTGAGTTACAAAAGCCAATTCCAAAAGCCTATGAAGTATGATACCATTTAAGTATCCAAAGCTTATTAGAAATGGAGACCCAACTAGCGGTTTCTGGGGGGTAGAAGTAGAAGAAGGGTGGTGGGAAGGAAGTGAGGATAGCTACAAAAAAGGTACAGGAGGATCTTTGTGTTTCTGGAATAGCTCAGAATCTTTACTGTGGTGGTAGATTAGAAAAAAATCTACACATGATAAAATTGTATAGAACTGAATGCACACACACACACACAAATGAGTACAGGGAAAGCTTTGAAAATCTGAATAATATTGGTAGATTGCATCAATGTCAATATTCTGGTTATGATACTGTGCTACAGTTTTGCAAAATGTCACCATTGAGGGAAACTGGGTAAAGGCTGTATTATTTCTTAGAATAGCATGTGAATCTACAAGTATCACAGTTAAAATTTTGACTGGTCATGGTGGCTCACCCCTATAATGCCTGTACTTTGGGGGGCCAATAAGGGAGGATTGCTTGAGGCCAAGGGTTCAAAACCAGCCTGGGCAGTGTAGAGAGACCCCTGTCTCTACAAAAACACAATGAGAAAAATTAGCCAGGCATAGTGGTACATGCCTATAGTCCTAGCTACTTGGGAGGCTGAGACAGGAGGACCGCTTGAACCTAGGAGTTCGAGGCTAAAGTGAGGTATGACACACCGCTGTACTCCAGCCTGGATGACAGAGCCAGACCCTGTCTCAAAAAAAAAGTAAAATTTTAACTAGTAAAGAGACCAATAACAAGTATTTCCTAGCTTAGCCATTTCAAAATAATTGATCAATTTTGCCTTCTTTCTTCTTTGAAACAGGAGCCCTCTGGTTTTCTCCTACATGAATGCTTGTCATGTGGCTTCTGTTATATGTACTGTGAAAACTACTAAAAGTAAGCTTAGGAGTGAAAGAAGCCTTAACCAAAAGAGTACGTATTATGAATCTTCATTTGCATAAAACACCAGGACAGGCAAATCTAAGCTATGATGGGAAACAAACACAACAAAACAGAACAGCAGTTGCTGGTGGACACGGTGAGGCAGGGATTGATGGGAAACAGCAACAAAGAACTAGCTGGCATGATGGCAATGCTGATATCTTGATAGGAGTCCCCATTACACAAGCGTGTGCATTTGTCAAAACTTGAAGAATGCACCAGTAAGATTTGTGTACTTCATTGTTTGTAAATTTTACATTTAAAAACTGTAAACAAAATTAAAATTGTGCTTAAATGACTGACTTTCTATCTGTTATATTCTTCCAGTTGAAGGTGCCATGCAATAAGATACCATGCTTTGGCTATATCCACAGTCACCAAACTAAATAGTTTGAAAAGAAAGTTTACAACGATCCCATCTCTTATACATTCTTCTCAGGGAAAGGAAATTGCAATCAACAGAGTAACCATGAAGCAAATTCATATAAAAAGTATCATTAAATCAGACTAAATTAAATTAAAGCAGATGTAATTAGGGCCCTCTGAAAGTAATTTTGGCTAATACTTTGTTTACATGCAGTATAGATGTAGCAACTACTGACCTCAGGCAATTTTAGCTGCTGTTATATTAATTATTACATATGCTTTTTATATTCCTGCTCAAAATATCCTTTATAGGTCTGAGTAGCTCATGTTCTTCTGCCAAGGATACTTCAAATGAGTCTCAGATCCTCTGAAATCTACATATTGATATAGATGTAACATCATTCAGCCTGTAGTAAGAGAGTTACATGTTTTCTTTGCTTAACCATGATTTTGTTCTACCTAAGATTTTTATTTATTTTGGTAAAATTAAAAGAAGGATGGGGGCTGTTCATAATTACAATTATAGCCAGTAGGACTCAACCCTTTCCACTTAATAGGCTTACACTGCAAAGACATGTCTGCTTAATTGGCCGGACAAGTCAAGACCTTGATGAAAATTATTCCTTGACCCTACCAACAATTCATAGAGAAGATAACAACAATGTTACAGATTTCTAATGTCGACTCCTCATTTTGGTCTTAAACTTTACTCATGACCCTGGCTCCATCTCTAGTTCTGTTTTAGGTTAAAATATGCTCAGATTGGTGGCTAGAGCTGGTCGCTTCTCTCCCTTTGTTAGGTAGATTTATTTTCTCCCAATTTGCGTCTAGATGTTACTACCAGGTTGAATCTTCCCCCACATTCATTCTTTTTACTGACATTAGTAAATACTTCAGTACCGCAAGCCATTTTTCATACAATCTAGCACTCCTTGTTGCTAACCAGCGGGCCAAAGAATAACTTTATTCATGAAGAAGCCTTCAAACTCTTCTCCTATAAACCCTGATTTATTCTTTTTTAAATCTGTATAAGTCTTGGAGCAATTGATCGATTCCTTCTAAATAAAAGGTTTATATATGATAAGAACTGGGATAGTCAAATAATATTGTGTGGTCACAAACTAGGATGAGAAACAAAGGAATCCCTCTCTCTCCAACAAACATCTCTAAATGCCCTTGACTAAAACTACATTTCTGAAAAGCATTTGCCCGTTCACAGGAGGTAAAAGAGTACATTACACCATGAATGCTTATTTTTAAAACTCAGCATCTTTTTTAGTACTGAAAAATCTATTCAAAAGTCCCTTCCTCCTTAGGCTACCAAGCTTTATTCAGCCAGGAGGCCAACAAATGCTGATATTTCAAGAAATCCAATCTCTTAATGACTGGTGGCAGAGAGAGGAGAAGGCTTGTGAAAGGGTCATCTTGAAATAAGCCTAATCTGAGACACATGTGAGCCCATACATGAAGCAGGGAGTCAGGACTGCCACCAACACAGCATGGACCTACTGTCATCTCTCTGCCAGGGTGCTCCATGCAAGAAGATGAACTGTCCCTTCTAGCACACGCTCAAATTCCACACTCCCAATTCTTCCCTCGTAGAAAAGTACACTCAGTATCCAGGACAAACCCTGGCTCTGGGCGCTCCAAACACACAGGTCAGTGTGGGGCCTGTCATCGATGGAGGGAAAAACAGAGGGTGCCAAGTGAGGAGGAGTCTAGGTAGATGGGGCCACTCACTGAAGACTACAGGAAGGTTTGGGTTGGGGGCTAGATTTTGTCAACAATAGCAAAAGTGAATTACTGGACGGGGAAGGAGAAAAGCCTGGGAAAAAGGAAGAATCTGTGCAGAGTGACAAAGTGCAAACAAATATGTTGTGTAGTACAAAAAAATAGCAAATAGGTTCACTTGGCTTTGGCAGAAAGTTTCAAGAACTATGGTGATGGCAACGAGTGTAAGAGAGGAGGAGAACAGCTTTTAGGAAAGTGTTTATTATTCCTTTTTTTTTAATTTCAGAATATTATGGGGGTACATATTTTAAGGTTGTGTATAATGCCCTTGCCCTCCCTCCCCCCACAAGTCTGAGCTTCAAGCGTGACCATCCCCCTGACAGTGCACATCTCACTCATTATGTATGTATATACCCGTCCCTTTCTCCCCCCTCCCACCTGCCCAATACCCAATAAATGTAATTCATTTATGTGTCCACTTAGGTGCTGATCGGTTAATACCAATTTGCTGGTAAGTATATGTGGTGCTTGTTTTTCCATTCTTGGGATACTTTACTTAATAGTATGGGTTCCAGCTCTATCTAAGAAAATACAAGATGTGCTATATCACTATTGTTTCTTAGAGCTGAACAGTACTCCATGGTATACATATACCACATTTTATTAATCCACTCATGTTTTGATGGACACTTGGGGCATTTCCACAGCTTTGCAATTGTGAATTGTGCTGCTATAAACATTCGAGTGCAGGTGCCTTTATTGTAGATTGTCCTTTGTTCTTTTGGGTAGATGCCCAGTAGTGGGATTGCTGGATCAAATGGTAGATCTACTTGTATCGCTTTAAGGTATCTCCATATTGCTTTCCACAGAGATTGAACTAGTTTATAGGCCCACCAGCAGTGTAGGAGTGTTCCTATTTCTCTGCATCCACGCCAACATTTATTGTTTTGGGACTTTTTGATAAAGGCCATTCTTACTGGAGATAAGTGATATCTCACTGCGGTTTCGATTTGCATTTCCCTGATGATTAGAGATGTTGAACATTTTTTCATATGTTTGTTAGCCATTATTCTGTCTTCTTTTGAAAAGTGTCTGTTCATGTCCTTTGCCCACTTTTTGATAGGGTTGTTTGGTTTTTTCTTGCTGATTTTCGTGACATTATT